CCAGTCTGGCATCACACTTGTAGTCTTCCTGCCTCGGCCTCTGAATAGCTGCAGTTACAGGCTGTGCCACCATGCCCAGCTAAGGGTCTTTTCCTATTTTCTAAAGTTAGATAAATACTGATTCAGTTTGCTATCCTCAGTAGGCCTCTTGAATTTCATATTGAAAAAGAATACATAGTGGTAATCTTTATGAAAAACCAACCTAGAAAGATTAGAATTTTGAAAGCAGATAGTAAGATTTTGTGTGTATATTCCAGATATTCTTTTTTTTTTTCCCCTCTCCTTATGGGAGTTGAACCAGAGTTTTTGCACTAAGCCACATCCCCAGCAGCAACCTCCCCCACCTTTAAATTCTGAGACAGAGTCTTACTAAGTTGCCTCAGCTGGGCTTGAACTTGCCTTACTATCCTCCCACCTCAGCCTTCCAGAATGTTGGGATTGCAAGCCTGTGCCACCATACCAGTTTCTAGATGTAGTCTTTACATCACAAAAGGACAGTCAGCAGCTTCCATTTAAAAATGACATCCTTTAATATATTTTTGATATTCTTTATGTTAAGAATTACAAGGGGCGGAGGATATAGCTCAGCGGTGTGGCGCCTGCCTGGCAAGTACAAGGTCCTGAGTTTGATTCCTGGGTCCCTAAAAAAAAAGAATCACACTGATATTACTCTGCCATTATTTTTTAGCCCTCTCAGTTGAGGTAAGTATAATACTAGTAAGACATAACTAGTAGAAAGACTTTGTGAAACATTTGAAATGTAAGCCCTTATCTTTGACACAGTAATTTTAGTATATGTATTGCTGAAGTGAGCACTGGGACAGTAATAATTAGGGAAGTGGTAGATTAAAAAAATATATCCTGAACAGTGTACTTGTATATAGTATATATACCATTAGAGCAAACCGCTGAATTATAGGCATCAAATGTTCCAGGAAAAATTACATCAGTGAGTGTTCAATGAAAGACAGAAGTCTGCTCATATTTTCAAAAGACTTATGTAATCGGTGACACAACTATTGAAATGGGAATTGTTAGTTATTCCTTACCTGTTTAAGGTATTGGGGATTGTGAGGCTGACCTGCTGATAAGTCATCTTTTCACCTCTGCCTCATTTTCTTATCATTCTTGTAAAGTTCCATAACATGATCAGCAGAACTTGATTGTTACTTCAGAGGGAAGTAAGATGTTGAAGCACTAAAACCCAGCTTTCTGCTACCACATGTGTAAACAGTCATCACCCTGGAGCATCGTTTTCCTTATTGATTTGTGCCTAGGTCTGGGTTTACAAAGGTGATGGTGTTATTGATAGCATGGAACGATCGGTACTAATGTGAGAAAAATTTAACACTACAGTTCCCCTAGAAATGCGAGGCAACACACGTCACACAGGGCCATAGGAGAAAACACTGTTGTCCGTCAGGAAGCAGAAAGGAGCCAAGGGAGGATGTGGGCCACACGAAAGGCAAGGCAGAGCATAGCAGTTAGTTTAAATAATTTAAACAGGCCTTGTGGTCTACAACCTGTTCCCTGTTGTCCGATTGGGTTCATTTAAGGCAGGAGAAATTGGGGGTTGGTATATGAAAAAACGAGGTAGAGGAAGTGGTTCAGACTATAGGCTTTGGGTCACAGAGGAAATGTAAACAATTTTGGCTTTTAGTTTGGTCCTATAACTAATGGATAGCAAATAGACAAAAATAGAATCTAAGAAAATGCAACACTTAATAGCTGTTAAAAATAGAGTAGAGCCAATCGTGATGGCACACATCTGTAATCTCAAGCACTTGGGAGGCTGAGGCAGGAGGTTTGCTGCAAGCATGAGGGTAGCTTAGGCTACATAGTGAGTTCAAGGCCAGTCTGGGCTACATAGTGAGACCCTGTCTCAACAATAAATAGAACAGAACAGAACAGGCTGGGTGTGGTGGTATATAACGTTAATCCCAGCACTGAAAAATCTGAGCCAGAAGGATTGCTGAGTTTGAGGCCATTCTGGGCTACATAGTAAGTTCAAGGCCAGCCCAAACTACATGGCAAGTCCCTGTTTCAAAAAATGCCTCACTCCCAAAAAAACAAAAAGAAAAAAATAGAATAGAAAATGTCAGCTGGGTGTGGTGGCACACACCTATAATCCCAGCATTTGGGAGTCTGAGGCAGGAAGCACCATACCACAGTGATATATACACCCATGTTTATAGGGGCACAGTTTGTAATAGCCAAATCTTGGAAACAACCTAAATGCCCATCAACTGGTGAATGAATAAAGAAGATGTGGGGTTTTTATATAATGGAATACTACTCTGCCATAAAGGATAAGCTTGAGACATTCCTAGATAAGTGGATGCACCTTGAGAACATACTCTTTTAAATGAAGTAAATCGGACATACATGTGTAAATACCTCATTATTTCCCTGCTATGAGAAATCAAAAGTGTAAATAAGGACCAAAATGTGTATTAGGTATTGTGAAATAGCAAGAAAACGTTCAAATGGAGAGAGAAACAAGGAGAGGGGAGAGGGGAAGGAAAGAAAGGAAAAGTAGAAAAAGAAAAAGAAAGAAGAAGAAATGGAAACAAAGCTTTTGTAAATGGGGAGGGCAGGAGGGGTTGAAGGGACTGTGGCAGAACGGGGGAAAAACAGTCAAGTTAGCCTGGCGTGGTGGTGCACGCCTGTAATCCCAGCACTCCGGAGGGTGAGACAGGAGGATCATTGCAAGTTCGAGGCCAGCCTAGGCTACAAAGTGAGCTCAAGGCTCGCCTGAACTGCATAGCGAGACCCTGTCTCATCAGTGACAGGAGTCACTGATGAGGGGATAATCCACTATTTTTCACAACCCTTAGGCTCTAACTACTTGATGGATCTTTCTTGCTTATCTTTGTTTTCCTGAGAAACCACTTTGAAGATACCAACATCTATTACAGCAGCCATTGATAATTTCCTGCCAATCTGTCCATAACTCTGTAATGTTTGTATTGTTCCTATGCTATTTTGTAAATGGATGTATGTTTATTACTGTGTGTTTCCTACAACCACCATTGAGAATAGTCAATGATTATTTAATTGATCACTCATGTATAGCTCTATTTGTTTTCTCTAGAAACCACTTTGAAGAAACCAGAGTATAGTTCAACAACCATTGATAACTTCCTACCATTTTTGTCTAAAACTCACTATTATTTGTCCGTTTGTTTTCCTGAGAAACTATCTTGAAGATACCAGTTGGTAAAATAACGACCATTGATAATGTCCTACTACTTGGTCTGTAATTCAGTAAATCCCTCTATTACTATGTTATCTTTCTTTTACTCTTTAAAATTGAAAAAAGCAAATGTACCAATAAAATCAGATTGAAAAAAATAGAAAATGTCAGCTGGGTATGGTGGCACACACGTATTGGAAGGCTGAGGCAGGAGGCTTGCCACAGATTTGAACTAGCCTGAGATATGTAATGAGTCCAAGACCAGCCTGAACAACATAGAGAGACCTTGTCTGAAAAAACAAACAAAAGAATAGAAAATGTCATATGTTGAAGACAAAAACAACTTGTCATAGACTGTAGAGATCTAAAATATGAATGGAAAGAATTGCTCTATCCCAAGATAAACAAACCAAGAATTTTTTAACCCTATTGTTTATCTGTTCATAAGGAAAAATATTATTACTTTATTCATTGTTTCTTGTTTACTCTTTTTTTCCTTTTTTTTTTTTTTCTTTTTTTTTTTGAGACAGGGTTTTGCTGTGTACTGCAGGCTGCCCTTAAATTCACTTATGTAGCCCAGGCTGGCCTCAAACTTAAGGTACTCCTCCGGCCTCAGTGTCCTGAGTGCTGGGTTACAGGCGTGCGCCCCCATGCCCAGCTTGTTT